CAGCCTTCAAATCAGGGGGATGACTTGCCCCAGGCTGGCTGTATGAGCACACAACACATTGGTGGTGTCTTGCGAAGGCTTGAGGACACGCACCAATTGGGAGAGAGTAAGCCAGTCATCGGAGCTGATGCTGAGCTCCTCTTCCCTGTGCTGGATGGTCATGGAGGAGATGACATCTTGTGCCATGCTCTTCTGCTCCACCAAATGCATGGTCATGGCATACGTGGAGTTCCTCCTCCTCCTCCTTCCCCTGCCTCTTGCGCAGCAGATAGGAGAGCTGAGCAACTGTGGCTGGCAAAAGGCTGCGTCGTCCTTGAGTGAGAACAGTTGGCCATCCACAGCAGTCTTCCCGCCGACAAGGCAAGTGACTGCTTCCTGAGCACTCCTCATAGCTTTTTTGACTTCTTGAAGGGTGGCCTGCCTTGATGTGCGGAGCCCGAGTGCAGGGAGCCTTTCTTGGAGGGGCCTCCTGCTCCCCCTCTGCTTTCCCTGCTGAGGGGGAGTGTGCCGCTTTTTCCTCCTGCTGGCTACCACGCTTTCCTCCTGCAGCAACATAGTTGGGTAATGGTGCACCCTTTGCAGGTGCCTGCAGACAGAGGAGGGTTTGTGCCCCTCCAAACATGAGTATGGCACACGTGGCATGCTGCTACAAAAGGGTCACTAGGGAGGGTGTGGAAATGTTTCCAAGCTGTGGGTTTTCCCCACCCCACCCTCTGAATCACTGCTGTTAGAGTCCTCCTCTCCAAAGAGGGTTAGCAACTGCTGGTGTCTCTGGGCAGTGCTAACAATCATTTTGTGGAGAGACCCAGAAACAGATCAGGGGCAGGAGGCTCCATGACCCCTCGTGATGCCCTGCTAGGGCCAGGCTCCAGTGGCCTGGCAGGATGGGTGTGGAGCCCAGAGACAGGGACCTGTGGTAGGCAGGGGGTGAAAGACTTCTTCCCTCCAGAATGAACACCCTTTGTTCATTCTCACGGCACACAGAGGTGTTCACACTCCGGAGGGATGGGAGGGTATAAATGTGGGAGAATATTTTTGGGGAGTTCATAACTAGAACCCGAGAAATATAAACCACCCCATCTTGGAGAGGTTGTAGAGGTGCAGGCAGCAGGGTGAGGTTCCCTGTGTGTTTGATTTGTGTAGTTTGCAGGGGATCCATTCATAGAATCATAGAGTTGGAAGGGGCCATACAGACCATCTAGTCCAACCCCCTCCCCAATGCAGGACCAGCCTAAAGCATCTCTGACAAATATTCGTCCAGCCTCTTCTTGAAAGCTGCCAGTGAGCAGGAGCTAACCACCTCCCTAGGCAGCTGATTCCACCTTTGAACCACTCTGACCATGAAAAAGTTTTTCCTAATATCCAGCCGATACCTTTCTGCATGTAATTTAAACCCGTTGCTTTGGGTCCTCTCCTCTGCTGCCAACTGGAACAGTTCCTTGTCCTCCTCCAAATGACAGCCTTTCAAATACTTAAAGAGAGCAATCATGTCCCCCCTCAGTCTTCTCTTCTCCAAACTAAACATTCCCAAGGCCCTTAAGCTTTCCTTGTAGGTCTCAGTCTCCAGACCCCTGATCATCCTTGTCGCTCTCTTCTGCACCCTCTCGATTTTGCCCACATCCTTTTTGAAGTGAGGCCTCCAGAACTGCACACAGTACTCCAGGTGCAGCCTGACCAAGGCAGTATACAGAGGGGCTATGCCCTCCTGCGATTTCGATGCTATGGCCCTTTTAATACAACCCAAGACTGAATTTGCCTTTTTTGCCACCGCATCACACTGACTGAACTGCTCATATTTAGTTTACAGTCCACCCTTACCCCAAGATCTCGTTTGCATACACTACTCCCCAGAAACGTATCCCCCATCCAGTATTTGTGCTTGACATTTTTGTGGCCCAGATGTAATACTGTGCATTTATCTTTGTTGAATTGCATCCTGTTCGCAACTGCCCACTTCTCCAGAGTATTCAGGTCTTGTTGAATTTTAACTCTATCTTCTTGGGTGTTTGCTACTCCTCCCCATTTGGTATCATCAGGAAATTTAAT